AAATTAATTTGGTCGTCTACAAAGATGCTACGGCTATTTAACTTTTCAAATCGAGCCGAACTACGCGGGTTGTCATTTGTTTTGCCCGGAAGTTCACGCGCTACTCCTCTCTCTCTCTTTCTCTCTCCCCACTGCCCCCAAACAAAATTGCACGCTTTAAGGCTAACAGTAGTAACACAAGAGTGCTGGAACGTTTGTTCACGGCACAGAATTCTACAATTCTGTTATCACAGTGTAAAATTCTGGGGTTCAGGGTGAACGCTGCACGGGTTAGCCATAACGGTGAATGCACACCGGGTGAGAATAGCCAAAAGGCTCGCCTGCGCTATTGGTGAGAATAAAGGTGGCCATGTGAGAATAGTGGAGGTGGACCTTTTGGCTATTTTCACCCGGTGCGCCTTCATCGTGATAAGGCCTACCAGTGTAGCGTTCACCGTGAACAAACGTTCCAGCGCTCTTGTGTTGAAAGCTTGCAATTTTGTTTGTGGGCAGTGAGAGAGAAAGAGAAAGGGAGGGGGAGAGAGAAAGAGGAGTAGCGCGAGAATTTCCGGGCAAAACAAAATGACGACCCGCGTAGTTCGGCTCGATTTGAAAAGTTAAATAGCCGTAGCATCTTTGTAGACGACCAAATTAATTTACTTTTGTGTTTTATCATCATTTTTTATCTTTGTTTTTGTCAATTTGATCGTCCCCACGCCGATAGACAGTATTCAGAAAGAGAGAGAGAGAAGGAGTAGATCTTGCGAGAACTTCCAGGCAAAACTAAATGGCGACCCGCGTAGTTCAGCTCGATTCGAAAAGTGAAATAGCCATAGCACCTTTGTAGACAACCAAATTAGCTTACTTTTGTGCTATATAACGTCATTTTTTTCTTTGTTTTTGTCTAATTGATCATCCGCACCGATAGACAGTATTCCGAAATTAGGGAAAAACAGGTGTTGTTTCACATCGGGTGAGAATAGCCACCGCTGGCAAGTCTTTCCGGGGGTGAGAGGTCGATCGTATTTTTATTCTCACTCCGAGTGAGGATAGCCACTTCCAACTCAGTGTCACTAGATCTAGATCTACTTCGGGGATTATCTGGTTTGGCCCCAAATAACTATAAAGTGGGTTTTGGCTCCACTGACGATTAGATCTAATCTAGATTCTGACTTCTGGTTCTAAAATCTGAACGATTACTTTCAACGTGCATACCGATATAATGCTGTTTGACGCTCAGCGAGCAAGAAATATCAAACTTAATTATACTGAATTGCTAACGCAGTGAAAAAAGTGTCGTGAACTTAGTTTGCAGGCTATGTTCACCGTGAACTGAATCATCCATCATTGGCACACAGAGGCACGACTGAAATGCTACGGTCACTCAAAGTGATGATGAAACAGCACAGGAATACTCTCGTGAAGAATAATGCAGTGGTGGTCCGAATGCCAGGGAGTTTACGGAGGGCGAATGCGGGAACACCAAAACAGCCCCAGTCAATATGGCAAATAAGGCCTTGCTCTCTCAACGTGCTGAACACGACTTCGATCCTCTTCCCGTGTTCAAAATTGACAATTTGAAAATAAAAGTTATTTGCAGAAACAAAGGAGAATGGAAGAAGGCCAAGGTGGGAAGAGGGGTGGGAAAGGGTGAAAAAGAGAAACAAAAGGGAAAAGGGTAGGGGGTGAAGTGAGCAAGATCATTCTTTAATTGCAATCTACATTCAGGCCACCGTGAACATAGTCACTGCGAATTGCAAAACATCAAATTATGGCTAAATTCAAGGGGCAATGCCACCCCTCACCTCTGAAACCCCCCGCATGTTTTTTTAAGGTTATGGGGACAAGCCCTCCTAAAACCCCCCTTGTTAAAAACACATGAAATATTATTGCTCATTTTGTACTGAAAAATAGCAGCGCATCTTTCGCTCTTTTTCGGATAAAACATCAATACCGATACCGAGTATTAAAATCAGTATCGATATCCAGTACTCCTGGGTCCCAAACCGGAGAATGCCCTACTTTCTTCTTCTCGATCTCGTCACATTTGAAGTCCGGTCACATCTGTCATATTGAGCCGTCCTGCTCAGTTCATCTGTCGGCCCATGAGCTTCTCTTGTACATGTGTCAGTGGGGTTGGCCACGTTTACAGTATCACTATAGGCTGGCCTAAGAATGTCATCATACCAGCAGTTGCCATCACTCTTCAGTTAGAGAGAAAGTATTATTTCAACAATTTTTGGCCTAAGATTGTGAAGAAATTTTAAATCTGATGGCATGCTCCCTGTAACCTCACTTTTTAAAAAACCGTGCCTGCCCCCCCCTCTCTCTGAAATTCAGTGAAATCCCCCTCTGATTTAAGTCCAAAGTGCAGAAATTACCTGAAGCCAAGAAGCATTTGGGCGTGGTTAAATAGGAATAAAAGCCATCAAATATAATTTCAAGAAATATTTATTTGCAACGAATATAGATTCTATTAAGTCAATATATTTTTGTATAAAAAACGCCTGAAAATGAAAGCAACAAAGGGCTGCTATAACAAACAATATCTGAACATGAGATGGTAGTGACAAGGTGTTAGCAAATTCTTGTCTTTTTGTGCTGTGTGTGACAGCCAAGGCCAGTGAGGGATATAAAAAATAAAAAAAGATCAGTGTTTGAAACTTACTTAGTGCAAAGCCCCCTTTTCTGCCCTTTAAAAAAATCTCAACCGGTGGCGAGCCTTCTATCAAGACCACTTTTTTCATCATGCCTTTGTTTGCGTTACGTTTGTACTTTTGCTTTACTATTTACAACAACCGCTGTCCTTAACACCTCAGGGAAGAAGACGATACAATCTATGGCCAGATTACTCTTTTTTTAAGCCTGATTACTCTTTTTTTATTTACTGATTACTAAAACGTATGCTGATGGGTGGGCAGCCCCATGAAGTGTATCAAGGTCACCCGGTGTATTGCGCATCTGCAGTCACGTCAAAATTTCTACACACAACACAGTACAGTGTGGCCACCCTTTTCTAAAGACACTGTTCTGCTATTTCTTAAAACGTACAAAGTGGGAGGCTCTCATGGTCTTGAGGTACTGTGTTGGCCTCTCATTCAAAGGTCCTGACAGTGATGGAAAATTTTCTTTCCTAAAATTTTCTCCTTTCACACCCTTTCCTGCTCTCTCATCATGATTTGTCATCTGCTTTCATTGACCCTTCTCCCCCCCTCCCCCCCTCCCCCCCCTCCTCTGGGCTCCCGACTCTTTCTACTGCTATGCTTGGATCTGTCTTTCAGCCACACCCCTGATCTGGGGGTAGGTAAGATCGAACACCTAACCCTGTCAGATAAGGGCAGGAAAAAAATCTGTGATGTTGCGAACGTTAAAGATCCCTTAGTGGTCCAAAATCAGTGAGTAGGCTTCGGCCACCACCTGCGCAAAATTCAAAATTAAAATGACCAGTTTTTTTACTTCATAGGACTCCTTGCCTTCTGGCAGCCGCATTTCAATTTGGAAGGTACTCTGTATTTTTTAAATTGACTGGAGTGTGTTCACTTTTGGGATTAATTGATTATTCTCTTATTGAATTTAGTACAACCAAGGTGCATCTAGCACTCAGGACCTCTGAGATTTTTCGCCCTGAGAAAACTAGGTGTTTGATTTTTACCTACCTTAAGATCAGGGGTATGGATGAAAGACAGCAGTGAGAAGGAGCCAGGATTATCAGTAGAAAGAAGGCCAAAGTTGGGGGAAGTAGAGCATAAAAGGGGCAGGGCTGGGATGGGAGTGGGAAGGATGACAGGGTGGAGAGAAACGCAGACGATGCTATAATACTAGAGAACAACAGTGGAGAAAATTTTTGGGAGAAGAAAATTTTTCCATTGCTTGCAGGATTCAATTATGAGACCTTATAACTGAGAGGCATGCACTGTACCTCTAGACCATGAAAGCCTCTTTTGCGAAGACCTGAGAAGATTAACAACTTCTTAAGTTGCTCCCAGCAGCTCGCTGTCGGAACAGCTGTGCTGATGAAGCGGCTCGGGGACATTCCTTTACGACTATTTCGACTAATTAGCTAAATTGCTGAAAACAAGTCTTTTTGCTGGGAGTTCTTTCAGTAGGTCAAGAAATATCAAAATAGGTTGATTTGTTTTGATTTAATGACCAATTTAGTCATGTATGTCACTTTAAGATTTTGTACCAAGAGAAGGCCCTGTTTTTGGTTTAACCCCCCCAACCCGGTGATAAAGAGTTTAAAAAAGAAATTTGTTTTCTTTTTTTATCTTGTTTTCACAAGTTAACCTCAGACAGATGAAAATGTACCAGCTGTATATATATGCTCCTATATCTAAACTGAAAAGAATTTTAAGGGATATATGTCATCTTATGAATGAATTTGCATTCCTTGAGAGTTGCTAGTGAACTTGGCAAGTTTCTGTGACAAATGGACCAAAACTATTAGAGTATGGTCAGCAAAATTGTTTTATGTTAGGGAATTAATTGATAATGTCTCGTCTAGTTTTGTGATTTTTGTATTTATTTTGTTTGAAAGCTGGAGTGCTGTTGCTCAACTTTACTTCTCAGAGAAGGAATGGGTAAAAAAAAAAAAAAAATAGCTGTTCAAAAAGGTTGGAAGTATGAGTACACTACAGTTGTAGGCAAAGTTTGTGTTAATGTCAGTTGCAGCTCTAATTTTCATGAACATGAATTTGACAAGTCTGAGTTGGAGCTTTTCATGTTAAGAGATTTCTTTGCCTCCAGGTAAAATTAAAATTCATAGCAGACCATGAATTCAGAATGAATAACAGTAGAAGTACAACTTTCATGTTTTCATGAATTTCATTTTGTCTTGTTTCAGGCAAAACAGCCTCTCAAGAGGGATGGTAAGATATTAGATTTTATTCCTGATTTTTTTCCACAAGCAGAAAGAAAAGTATTCTTGCAGTCTTTTCTCTTGGTTGACTTATGAAATTCAGATTCTCCTTTTTATCCTACTACATATATATATTTGTCGCTTAGCTGTGTGATTCAACTGCCCAAGTGACAGAATTTCCCAAAATCACTTTTGATCCCTTTATGTAGAATAGCCTTTGATACATCTTAAGTTAAAATCCCGAGTTTGAAAGATTACTGCAAAGTGTTTCATTCCTTCAGTAAATCAATCGCATATCACACAGATCCCCGATTTCCATGAGATTCAACCGCCCAAGTGCCAGTTTTGCAGCCCTGTGGCGAATGGGCGGTTGAATCACGCAGATTCAGTGACTTGTTGAGGTGTTCATCTGTCGCGTAGGCGGCGTGACCCACACGACTGTGGCCTTTGTCAAAACAGACTGGAGGGTAACGTCAAACAAAGTGCCGCCTTTGCTAACTTCGACTCAGATTGAACCCTGTCGATAGTCAGAAGATTTTGTCAATGAAGATTGCGTAATCTATCACTAGGTTTGGTCGTGTAGTTGAGAAAGGGCAAGTTGGCATCAAAGATGTTAACACTGACTCGACAAAGTAGGTAAATTGTTGCAAAATGAATTTTTAAAAAAGCCTATGATTGACAGCTAAGGGGCGATTATTTCACATTCGGTACAACTAACTATTGGAAAATATTTTTTTCGCCACTTCTCGCCTTTCTTAATTTGCTTTAAGTGTGCGCCCCTTGGTGTCTGTCATGTACCATTCTTGAATGAATCATTGATTAGTTTATCAGTGCCGGGTAGATGATACTTAATTTGTCACTCGGAAAAAAAAGCAGCTCATAAACATATTCACCCCCAAAATTCTCTTTTCAACAAACCTTCAACTTCAACTCTCCAGCTCTACTCTTCAATTTGATACAAATCGCATGCATTCTACCTAGAGTTTGTGTATACAACTGCCCTCATACAGTGGTTATTCATGACTGTTGCAAAGACTGTTTACATGATTTGGAGATGGGAGCTTCATGATTATCAAATTACCAGAGAGCAGAAGAGGACAACAATTTTGTGAAAATTTTTTTTTTGACAAACTTGACAAAATTACTTTTCCATTACTACAGACAGAATACAGTAATTAAAGGGGACAGTAGTATCACGAAAATGGGAGTTGATACAGAGCATGAAAATAGGGAGTGTGGGATGGTCAATAACATTATGTATGCGTTTTTATTGAATTATTGAGCCTCTTATACATGGGGAATGAAATCATGTAAATTGTAAAACAGAATTCTGGGCTCTGATGTAGACAGTGGTAAGTGAAGCTCCAGTCTATTTCTGAATGCCTACTTGTCAGGGTTAAGAATTTGTTTTTCTACTGGAGGGTTCCTGTTTTAGTAGTGTGATTCCTTGCCTGAGACTAAACCATATTGATCGTCTTTATTTCCCAGCTGTATGATATTCTTATGTGGTTTGCAGCATTTACATATTCTTTAACCATGAAGAGTAATGAATTGGAGTGAAATAAAAATTGTAAAAAGAAATGTAATGTTTGTATTGAATTCATTTTATCCCCCCGGCAGAGCTCCAAGAAGCTTTTACAATGAACTGTGGATCTGACAACACTATTCCATCATCAAAGTTAGGAGTTGTCATCAGGTCCATTGGACGTGCCCCAACAGAAGCCCAATTGCAGTCCATCTGTAGAGAACTGGAAAGTAAAGGTACAATGTCTTTGGTGTAACTAATGCTTTATACATTTCTGCTGAAAGTATATTGGCATTATTACAATGGTTTTTGTGTAAGAACACTTCCTGTAAGAGATTGACTGCCTAAGAGCTTGCATTTACCTGGTAACATATTTTTTTCTCTTAAATTTTCATGCCTTAAAACTGTTCAAAAAATGAATTTCCATTTTAGCATTGAGTTTGAACTGAAGGCAATGATCTTTTATAAATGTCCTGCTTTTTACCATACTTTGTGCATGCATAGAGGCCTTCTTCAAGGCCGATTAGTTATGGACTGTAATGTTTTTAAGTTCAATAACACACAAACTTGTTCTCCCTGTATAGTGAAAATATTTTGAGACACATAGAAGAAATGCCAGTTATCTCAATAGGGGGACATAATATAAACAATCTAAGATATGCAGACGGCATAGTCCTAATAGCAGAAGATGAAGAGCACCTACAAAATGTCATCGTACTAGAGAGTGACAACTTGGGCTTAAGCCTAAACATCAAGAAAACTGAAACAATGGTGATAAGCAGAAAAACTCCAACCCCAACATGCAATATCAAAGTCAATGATACCACCCTTAAGCAAGTACAACATTTTAAATATTTGGGGACCATTATATCATCAGATGGGAGATGTCACACCGAAATTAAAAGCCGCATTTGCCTAGCAAAAGCAACCTTCCACAAAATGAAACAGATACTCACAAACATCAATCTGCCTCTGGAAAAAAGAAAAAGAGTGCGGAAAAATTACATCAAGCCAGTCCTATTACATGGATGCGAAGCATGGACAATCAATGGACAGCTGGACCTGGAAAAAACAACTGAGGCGACAGAGTTGTGGTTCATAAGACGCATGCTGCGCATCCCATGGACAGCTAGAAAAACAAATGAAGAAGTCTTGGTTGAAGCAAATTGCAGACGACAGCTTAATAGTTTGATGTTATCAATACGACTCTCACAACATGAAATGCAAAACAAAGCAACCCTCGCCACCTTTTGAAGTCTTATAGTTTTTTTTCCCAAGGATACCCTTATATTCCCTGGTTTTACTATAATTTTTTTGATGTAGTGCTGGTTCATTGACCATGATTGTATTAGTATTAGTCAGTTGTCATGTCTTTCAATTATGTATACTGCATTTTTCAGGTGTGCGATCTCTGAACTGCCAGCAGGTGGAAGCCATCATCAATAAGTACGAATTTGCTCCAGAGTCTCCTGACGCACTCCGAGAAGCCTTTAGAATCTTTGACAAAGATGGCAATGGTTTGATTAGTGCTAGTGAGATCAGGCATATTTTGTGTAACCTTGGAGAGAAACTTACAGATGAAGAAGTTGATGAGATGATCAGAGAGGCAGATCTGACTGGAGATGGCCAGATCAACTTTGAAGGTTTGTAATAAACCATTGCTTGATAAAATTAGATGTAGCTGTACACTGTGTACTTACACACAAGAATGGTGGAGGGAATTGAGCATTCGTATGCTCACAAAAATATGTCCTTTCACCAAATATTCTTTTCAGGCATTTTTGATATTCATAATTCTTAGTGTTAACACCTTGCCCCCTCGGGACGCCGATCGGCGACAGTAAGAAACTGTCTGTTTTCCCCACGGGACACCTGCTTCTGTCAATAGACGCCAAATGGAGGCTGCACTTACTCAACTGTTCCTTTAGTTCCCTGAAGGTCTCTGGCTAAGATGGCAGGAAGAAAATGGTCTCTTGGGTGGCAATAAATATGAAAGTGCTGGCTTTGTTATGTGGTTGTAAACCTTGGTTGCCCCGTTCTTGGTTGGTCGGCGACACTTCCAGTTGTCTAGAAATATTCTTGCAGTCTTGCACTTGTCAGCTGATCAATATTAAAATTTGACTTACACCGGCGATGAGAATCCCAATGGCGCAATACTCTTCAATGCTCAACCTTGGCGTACAGTTAGGAGTACAATAAGGAGATCAATTTAATAATTGAATGCTTTTATTTTCTTGCAACCTTTAAGGAATAGAATGTTTAGGGCTATCACGATTGATTTATTTCAATAAGAAACAACAAAATGTGTGTGTGCCTGGTGAAAGGGACCACATGTCGCACTTTGAAAAATCCCGTTTTTTGGCATTTTCTTGTACATAATTCATTTCTGAACAATGTGCTTTTTAAATTTTGAAGATATCTTCAGTAGTTTTTGAGATATGGGCGATTTTGTAAGGCAGGGTACGGAAACAAAGTTTTGAGAAAAACGGCTCTAAAGTTTCACCTCTGTTTCTGCAGAAAAAACAAAAACAGAACACCCTTTTTTCATAACAAGTCACCATTCTAGTAAAAAGGTTTTGCTGTTGCTGAAATATAATGTTGTTAAATCATGTTCATAATTATTATTGTTTTGTTTAAAAACTTGGATACCCCCCTCCCTCCCCCTTCATCTCCTGCAACACACACAGGCAAAAAAAGTATCTTCACCACAGTAACTAGGGAACTTAACACTATCTATCATCAGGGTCAGAGGAAAACTTTTTGTTCCTTACCCACTTAACAAGATTGCCACATATCCAGATCTTAGAACCCAGACTCTCCCAGGAATAAATGAAATTTTGTTCTGCATACATTTAGAATTAAGAAAACAAAAATGCACTACTATGAGTAAGCTAGATCTAAACTAAATCTAGATCTAGGTTTATCAAGAAAGAACAGCGTAATGATAATTAATACTATTAATTATCATTATAATAAATAATTATTAGTTTGCTAAATCTAAATCTATTTCTATTATCACTGTTGTTTTTTATGTTGTTAATCTTTACCTGCTTCGCTCGGTTCTGCTTCAAGTGCAGGGTCTGGAACTGGCGATGGCACCACAGATCGAACTCATCTTCTTCCTCTTTTCCCAAATCGACGTCAGAAACGAAATAATCGCATATTACATCTCTAATGTCTTCTTCAGTGGCCATTCTGACATTCCAATGCATCTAAGAGAATTGAGAAGAGACACAATTTCCTGCTCACGAATAGCAGTATTAGATCTAGATCTAGTACTAGATCTACTACTAACAGTACCGGTAGTAGTAACAGCTGGCAGCTCCGCCGTGTTGTTGTGCTTCGAGACGACCTGACAACACAGTCGCTTCTCACAAACTAACTTTAAAAAGCAGCTCTACAATAAAAGAACAGCTTCAAAGTGTTTATATTACGTCTTCAAAACAAATTCACCACCACATTGAACAGGAATTTCAAGAAATACGGTTTGCACAGGGCAGAAATAGGCGATACAAGTTTGCTCTCCAAAGAAACAAAAGGGTATGGATGCGCAAAGTTTCGCTTTGTTTACATGTTCTAGATATTCATGCGCACTACCTGCCATTGGAGAGCAGAGAGAATGACTTAAATTTTAGTATGCAATGTGATTGGGTCGACTTTATGAATGGACAAGAGAAACCATCCGCAGTGTTTACCCTGAAAGCCAGTTTCCTCATGCATTTTTTGGGATTATGCAATATACCTTGAGTTAAAAAACACCTTTTAAAATGTATTTTAAAGTCAAAATAACCCAAATCCTTGTAAATATCAATAAATAAATGGCTGAAGAATCCATTTTTAATGGAACTTAGTTTTTGTCAAAAATTCTATTTTTGACCTTTGAAGCCTGATATCTCGGTTTGAGAAAATGCGACATGTGGTCCCTTTCACCAGGCACACACGTTTTACAACACAGACAAAAGAATGTTTATCTGATGGCCAGACCGTGGACAGTAGCTCACATTGTGTACTTTTAATTATGTACATGATTTGTACAATGAAATGCTATGTGCATTTGAAAAGTGAAGCACTTTTAATTGAGTAGAGTATATAAAATCTATAGATATAAGAGCAAAGTCCCTCCCATGACTGAAGTGTGCTTTTGGGTAGAGTTTTTTTTACTCGTCAAGTGTTCAGACATGACCACTGCTTCAGACAACTTTCACGCCTCATTTTTTAATTTTGGTACAAAGTGGTAGGGAATAAGCAACACATGTAAATAGTGTGCTATTGACTATAATTTGCTGTCAAATTTAACAAATTTTCTCATCAACTCAATGCATGATATATTTTTTTTCTTTTCAGAATTTGTGAGAATCCTTGAAGCTGGACTTTAAAGGTCGACAAATATGTTCCGAAATCCTGAGGATAGGTGCCTTTTGACATTCCGAAATTTAGTTTATGTGAATATGTTCCAGAGGCAATTTTGCTTTGAATAATTGTGGAGCCAAATTATTAGTATTGTCAACCATGCTTCTTATACAATTTCAGAGTGGTTTGAAAATGGAACAATTTATCATTATGCAGTTTGCTTTGTTGATGGAATTGTTCTTATTTTCACAAAATATTTCTTCTAACCTTGAAAATTGGAACTTGAACTCAAAAGTTTTCTTCATACGCTTATAAAAAATACAGGCTGTTCTTGTCACTGCTGTTCACTGTAAACTGCTGTTCAATGTGTAATTGAAAGTTGGTGGATAAATATACTCGAGTTCTTTTGAGTTGAATAGTTCCTTCATCTTCCTGATTCATTCTCACTGTGCCTTCATAAATTATATATGATTCAAGTGTGAGAAGAGGTGAAATGGTAGAGTTGTCGCCTTTCCCATTTAAACCGTAATAGTTTTATTTGGCTTTAGGCTTTGAATGCCCACAATGATATCACTGGGGTGTGTTTTGGTTCTTCCAGTAAACGATTGTGAAATGAATTTGACATTATTATCTTTACACCCAGTATGATGGTTTATAAAATTATGCAGTCCGTGTTCTCCATATAACACAGTTTTTTCTGCAGCGTGATCTTACTCAGGTATTCCAATACTGTATTGAGTATTTCTCCCCTCTCTGATTTGAGCTTTCCTTAGAATTAACTTCATAGACGTTTACTTTTGTAAGAAATTTTCTTTTGAATCATTTGTAATAACTCACAGACACTATAGTCACTATTGGCTTGTTTCTGATTTTGCAGTTATGAGAATGTATTGTGTTTTGATCGCTATTGAAATGCTGAAAAGATTTCTGTTGTAGCGAATCAAAATCACAGTAAGGTTAGAATATACTGATGTGCTCTTCAGCTTGCTCTTTAGCTGTTTTGATTTTGAGATGGAAAAGATCTTTGCCAGTGTTTAGTACAGGAAGGCCACAAGTACAGAAGTTTTTTTTCTCCTAGTGATTACAGTATCTCATCTCATGCAAAGATGAAAATAGGAGAGACAGCATGTCTGCTTAAACGTGTTACTATGTACTCTGTCATCAATTCATGATTTCTGTTTGGGTTTTGTAAAGTGTAATGAAATTTAACTGCAGGGCTTTCTGTTTGTTAATAACTAAATCCCTATACACAGTGTAAAATGAATTGTGGGAAATCAGTTCTCAGTTGACAGTTAATGAGTAGTTGATAGCTGTGAGTTTAACTAGAACATTCTCCTCCACCGCCTGCTGGCTATGTCAAGCGATCTCATTTGCAAGATATTTGGAGCTACAACTTGCTGTAATAAAATGCTTTCTTATTCTACATGGAAGGCTGGTACTGGTAATGAAAGTTTGCAGAGTTATGATTTCATTGAAATGTTTATCATTATCAGATTTTGTCTCCATGTTGACAATGTCATTTCAAAATTCTAGGTTCATGCAGATGTGAATCAAAACAGTACTTAAAGTAAGGAGTGTGGCGAATATATAAGATTTGTTACCGATTCTTTTTGGTATTGTCCTCAACATGGATTTTATTTAATGTAACTAATGAATTTATTATGCAGGTTTTGGTGGTTACAATGTTATCGATTAATGTGTTTAATAACTTTTATTTATTATGATCTTTTATTTTACAGTCCTTCACATTGTAACATCACTTACTACCTTCAGGCACCACTTGCATTCTTTTGATTATTGTTTCACTGCCGTATGTGAGCACTGTCTACGCCCAGGCTGTGACATTAATGTTCATGCTAGTTCCAGTTATTAATTTTGCAACCAGATTTTCAAAGAGCAAAATGAGATAGAAACATTTTTAATATATTGCTTTTGCTGTTTTATAACAATACAATCAAAGTCATATATAGAAGTGCCCCTTTTGTTTATGCTGTCTGAATTTCATTATGTTCTCCATTACAATATTATTTAACTGTATTATTGTAGTTGGGTTTGTCTTCCTTTGATTGTTTTCTTTTATTTGGAAAGGGCTTGATTGTGAAATGTATCCACAAGCTTCCGTTATATACAAACTTATGCTTTTCTCAAATTTATATTTCGTGTAAGGCTCCATTATAATTGTTAAATATTATATAAGTTATCGTTCTAAGACACAAATTTGTGGTATAATTGCTTCCATTAAAAGGTAAATCTGGTTTGTTTTGTTTAGTTGTTTATTTTTTTTTCATACCTGAATTTTTGTCACTGGCAATAATGATTAGAGTTATTTGATCTTCTGTTATTTGAATTTTGGTTTTAAGCTGTGGCAAATTTTTTCTTTAGTTTCCTAATTGTCAATCTATGAACCTCTGCTAAAACAGAATGCACAGAAAATAGAATTTGTACGAATTTGAATAAATCTTTACTATCAATATCTTTAGAATGTTATTGTCTATTGGTCTGTAAGTTTTGTTTGATGCGGATGTGGAATTTTGTAATAGTTAAGGCTAAGGATTATTTTTTATAAAAGGAACATTCTGCAGATAATTTTAATAATAGACACATGATGTGTTGCCTTGCTGGAAGGAAGTTTAAGATACAATGTAGATTTTATTGTGGATTAGAAGGCCTAATTTAATTATTCAACCTTTCAGTCAGCACTGTGAATAATCTCTGTACGGTAACTTTCAGTTGTAGATCTAGATCTATAGAGAAAAGAAAAAGTTAAAAAAATTTTTTTTTTAAAGGACATCTGGACCTCTGATGGTGGCACATTACTAAAACCAGGGACACCTGTCAAACATGAAACATCAGCAGACATGAGAACAACTTTTGATGGATTGAAAAATTGAACATGCTCAAGGAACAAAATTACAACCCATGACCAAGATCTTCTAACAAATAAACATGGGAAATAACCAGCTTTTCACTTAAATGATTCTTATTACAGTAGTCTCCGCCTAAACGCACGGTGCTCGGGAGGGATCTTGCGCGTGTGTTTATACGGAGCGTGTGTTTATACGGAGCGTGCGTTTACATGAACCTTTGCAAGGGGAGGAAGGGACGCAGTCATCTCAATTCCTTATTACTCTAGTAATCTCCCTTGGAAGAGGGGGTTATTTTGGCAGATAATGTGACGACACGTGACTGTTTTGTGAAGGATTCCCCGACAGGGGTTAAGAATACAATTACAACAGCGTTGAATGGGGGGACAAACTCAAAGTAATGAATATGCACTTTAAACGTCGGGAACAGATAGCCTTTGAGGAAACGGTTGGTGATAGTCATAGAGACGACGGACCAGCCACGTGGCTTTCCAAGCGACCACCCCGACCGTAAATTCATGCAGAATCATCCTCGAGAAACATTTTGTCTTGTGATTCGTTGAACAAGTAGATCTACGTTATAAAAATATAAGTTCTTCGAGCGCAGCTCATTAGGCTTACTTGGCTAATCTTTAATTCTATAGAGGCCTGTCTAGTGTTTTACGGTATTTACGCATTTCGCGCATCAGGCCTAGATCTAGATTTAGATCTAACTGAACATTACACGCAGTCACTCAAACTCAAACACCAGTCAGAAACCTTCTCTTAACCCTTTCCCCACCAGCATATTTCTCATACCTCATTCCTACCGGCTGGGTGGATCACACCCGGAAATACTGGCTGGGTGGTTTACACTCGTACACTTTTATAGCCGGGAAATACTAGCTGGGTGGTTCAAACCTGCATACTTAAACGTGCAAGGCGGTGCAGACAAATGCATTCGGCATTATTTTTCGTTTTAGAAGGCGTTTTACAGCAATTGCAACACAATTAGGTCATAAGTGTCAAAGATTAGAGATGTCAGAAAAGAGTAACAAATACAAAAGAGAAGGAGAGGTAATGACGGCAGATGTTTCATTGGAAAGAAGGAGCAAACTACACCAGAGCACCCGTCAGCCACCCACTGGCATTTTCTTGAAATAATATTGTATATATATATAATTACTTTTTATTAACTAAGCAAATGTTGAAGTGTGACTGACAGTGATTCCAAGTATTTTTTGTGACACGAGCAGGCTGACTGGTGAGGCCTAGAGTCAACATTGTGGAGAAGTTTTCTTAAAAACAGTCCGTCACCTGTTGAATCATTATATCAGATTTGATGACAAATAATCAGGATACAACAATGAACCAGGGACAAGTTTGCTCCCATCGGCGATGTTTGGGATTTCTTCCACTCCAACCCAGCTAAGCACTGCCACTTTCATCCGGTGCATCCCAAACAAACCAAACAAATATAATATGGAATTAAAATCTTCTAAATGTGTGACTTGAAAGCAGCTACCCACTTAAAAGTTTCCCCTATTTGGGCAAAGGGCACACACACAGGACCAAGACCAGTCACAGAGAACAACAGTGCCGTTGGTTCCAACACTAATCTAAAGCTGACTCAAAACTTCAAGGGCAGTGGCAGAAATATCACTTCTGACCTTTTTTTTTTTTTTTTACCAGTCTTGATTTGGCTGAAGTTCTGGAAAAAGACAACCTTACTATGGTGGGCACAGTTAGGAGGAACAAAACATTTCTCCCTGTGAACTTCCAGGCAAAAAAAAACCTGGGCTTTTTCGGAGTCAGCGTTTGTATTTCGAAAGAATGCATCTCTGGTCTCCTATCAAAGCAAGAAACAAAAAATGCCCTTCTCCTCAGTACAATGCACTCTGCTCCTGGAAGATCTGGGTTCCATGGAAAGCCTGAAATCAAATTGTCCTGCATTATATAATTATCAGAACCAAGGGTGGGGTGGATGCAATGGACCACATGCTTTTGCTGTGAAACGTAAGATAAACAGATGGCCTCTGGTGGTCTTTTTCAACATCATCGACCTCAGTTCCATTGACTCACATGTCATTTGGCAAGCCAAGCTCCCCAATGATACGCTTTCACTCGTAGACAACAGGCAGCTCTACAACATGGCTGTGGCAAGACTGGTTGTCCAGCAGATCATACAGCGCTCAACTGATATAGTCTACTCTCAATCTACCAATGAAACAAAACACTGAGACAATGCTTCAGTCTCCGACTCTGAGACCCACTTTAGTATCGTCTGTTCTAATCCAAAGTCAAAGGAAGAGGTCCAAGCCAAATGATTCTCCTGGGTCTCAAAATCAAAAGAGATGTGTACTGTTCCTGGCCAAAAAAGATAGGAAGACACAGTCTAGATGCCAGAAGTGTGATTGTCCCATTTGTAAGGACCACTCAGTTTTTCTTTGTTTTGAATAACACCATTTTCTTTTGAATCTTTCATTCTTTGTGCTGGTGCAAGAACAACAAGTGGCGTGGCAATCACACCGCTCGCACCGTGACATCAGCTTGTCTCCTTATTCCTGTTCATGTTTCAAATTTCTGTTGAAAATTAAATGTTCTTTCCATTTATTTCATGCCTCTATACCTTTTTCACATTACATGTTTGACACTTGTTAGTTGTGCTTGATTCACACAATAACCTGCCTGATCCTTCTCTCTGTAAAGCCTATAGAAAGTGTACGGGCGTGAACCACCCAGCCAGTATTTCCTTACAAAAAAGGTACGGGTGGACAACACCCACCCGGTAGGAATCGACATAAACTTTTTTGATCCATAGTCACCTCCCACACATTTATCATATGAAGATTTCTGATAGATCACAGCGTTAAATACACCACATTTGAGGATTACATAGAAGCACAAGTGTGTGGATTGAACGCTTTCGGAGTTACGTCCTTACTAAGTGGTCAGGTGGGTGTATTACACCCAGCCGGTGGGGAAAGGGTTAAAGATACATTTCCAGTGACCAATCAAAAAACATTTCAGTCCCCCCCCAGTCCCATCCCCCCCCCCCAACATTTAACCGACCAGCCCAAGGACCGAGACCTATGCGTGAGTGGAAAGTAGGGTGTGTAAACGCAGTCCATTACTCTCTTTGTCCGGCGTGAGGGGCACTCTCACCAAATATCCGGTTTTCTGGTAAATTCTAGGCTTGCCTTATGCAGGCTGTGCAGGTTGTAGTGAAACTTTCCCCTTGCCAAGCTTAACTTGTCAGCGTGTTTCGCGGATCAGAGCGTGCGTTTAGAGGGAGTGACCGTGCGTTTGTATGTCTAAATTATATATAGTAAAAAACCCGTCAGATGACGAAAGCGTGCGTTTGAGCGGAGCGTGCTTTTGTATGGCGTGCGTTTAGGCGGAGACTACTGTACGGTGATTACGTCCCTTTAGTCACATAGTGAGGTGTTAATTAATTGTTTTGTGAAAAAAAGGAGAAAAACGTGAAAAAACGCGGGGAATCCAAAATTATGCAAATGTTGCAGAATTACGCGAAAAAACGCGGCCGTGCAATCGCATAATCTTACGGGGACAGCCAAGGAGATGAGGATATTTGTCATCTCAATTCTTTCTTTGCTTTTGAAAGTTTAGTGAGAGACAAATTCCCATTTTAACATGAGAACTTGTTATTTCAGCACTAATTATTGGCACTTAATTGATCCTGCTTTTTTTTCAAGTACACATGAACTACATGTTGTGCTTCTGAGATTATGCTTCCCTGGGATATATCCGAATATTTTCAGGGTTTTGTTGATCTGAAACAATATTTTTTACTTTTTTTTTGGTACATGAACATTCATGGATGGAAAGCTGTGATGTCTAGTAGAATTGCGGGTAAAACAGCATCTGGAAATAAAAGACCATAAATAGCATATATATATATATATATATATATATATAAATATTTTTTTTTACTGAGTCATACTGTATTTAAATTAAAGTCCACTTTCATTTGCAAGGGAAAAAACCCTGGATATGAGCTAAAATTTTGTTCTTTTGTCAGGTTTCTTTGGTTAGAAAATGCACTCTCAGAACTTCCAATGTTCTGTCTTCTTATTTGTGATCTTTGCTTTGTTCAGAGTAGTGTGTTTTCCTCATTAGTGTGTCATGGGGCAATCTGAAGGCTGCCGGAAGATTCTCTGTATCTTCTTACCAATGAGTGAAACACTACCAGGTCACGAGCATTTGGCGACTGTTTTGGAATATACTGGGTAAAGGGTTACCCAAGTTACTTCTCTCTTCCTATTTGACGAGATGATCCATTGGTGTTACACATTTCAGTAGGCCTATAAAGTAAAAGTCAGTCATTTCAATGCAGTAATAAAATATTATGTGTCTGTTTGAGATGTAGATTTTAAATCTAATCATATTGGAGGGAACACAAATTCAATCTGTGTTCTTAAAGTGAATAAAACACTAACATTTTGAAAATTTTTTGAAAACTGATTTCAGGAAGCAGAATTAAAAACAAAACCCCAGCAAGAACTATTGTCATTTAATGCATGTTCATTGATTTTTGAAAATCATATTATTAATATTATAATATAACTCCAATGTTAACGTTTGCAGTTGCAGTGAGATGCAGTGACCATGG